ATTATTAATTATATGTAATAAATTTTACAAATTTTTTTGAAAATTTGACCATACAAAAATTTCAATTATCCAAATATTACATGTTAATATACAAGCAGAACTATGAAGAAAATACAACATATCCTTATTACAATACACACTACTATAATTGAAAATCAATCTGCAGCTATTGTATGGGCATTTTCCTGAAATCAGATTAAAAAAGCAAAGTTATAGAAATTGTTATATTATAGTATTATTCAAAATATATAAATCATTTATTACCTGATCATTTGATATATCTTCAGCAATTGTTTTTGTTTGCCACCTGATAAGCATGCATTGGTTAGACAAATTTTGTGCTATGTCTCACTATGCAGTATGCACTCTTGCACCAGAACCCACAAGTTCCTCCAATATTGCATACTGAATTTAAGTCTAGAGCTCAGGCTTCTTATTTCAACACTATTTAATTCTCATGAAGATCAAACAAGAGTATCATACATTCATACCACAGAAGAATCTAGAAAACAGAGCACTTTGAGAGAAAAAAAGACAAACCAAATTTTCGTGGTTCCACCGGTTACAAGAGCAGCCATCTATCAATTGTTGTGTGTGACAGTATCGATCTATATATTAAAAGAGTTTTTTTTTTACTGGCGTGATAATCTTACAACTTTTTTCAACTTTTTTTTTTTTTTTAATTTTAATATTCCACTACTTGCCAAACACATTTTTCTTTATCCTCATATTTCTTAAACTATTAACCAAACATACCTAAGTTTATTCTAATATTTAGAATTACCACCGACCAAAAAAACTTTATCTAGAATTGCCAAATTTCAATTTTCTAAAACTCTCAGTTAATACCATATTTACTAATACAGAATGGGAAAAATGTCATTTAAATCATGAGTTTACCATTTTCATTGGTTTAAATCCTTGTTTGAAAAATCGCTAGGCGCTAGTCGGGCGCTCGGTATGGGCCTAGCGATTAATCGGAAAATCGGATTAAAATCGGGGATTAATCGGGGATTAGTTTTAGGGTTTTTTAATCATATATATAACATTTATGCAAAATTTACTAATATGTTGGTGTGTTTAATGTTATAGTTTGAAGAAACTCTACTCAAAATTTATTAGTTTTATTAACAATATATTAAATATCTAAATTACACTTTTTAGTTTATTAACGTGTAATTTATTAACAAGATATTTCTTTTATTATTACAAAATAAATTGTGGAGGCAAGGTAAAAGATTATGCATTCAAAACAAAATAATATAATTAAAAATAAGGGATACATGAATGGGGGAGAATAAACCGTAAGCATGTACAATTGTTGGAAGAAGAAAAAGACAAAAGCAAGTAATACAAAAGTCCCACATCGGTAAGGAGAGGAAGAGTTATTGGAAACATTGCCTATATAAATAATACTTGAGGATTCTCATTCTAAACAGTCAGTGGGCTTTGTGTAATTAAGGCCCACAACGTTTTAGAAAAAGTCCATTTTTTTTTTCATTAATCAGTTAATTATCTGATTTTCAACGTTTAATGGTTAATTAATCGGTCAACGATTAAAATAGCCGATTAGACCATAATCGCGGCGGTTAAGCTGCGCCGAGCGCCTAGGCGGGCGATTAATCGTCTAGGCGCCCGCGTTTTTGAACAGGGGTTTAAATCATGAACTCTAGACCCGATGATTTAAATCCTTAATTTTATGTTGATTTTTATTTTAATCATGAATTCTCATTGACAAAGCCAATTGAGGTACATTGCTAATTGGCTAAACGGATCAATAAGACGATGTCATCGCATAACTGGCACTTCTAAGCCATCACATAATTTTTTTTCTACACCAACATGGTTTCCATCTTCCTCTTCGTCTGATTGCTCCGTTTAGCCAATTAACGATGTGCCTCAATTAATTTAGTCAACGAGAATTTGTGATTAAATTGAAAGTCAACATAAAATTGAAGATTTAAATTATCAGGTCCACATAAAATTGAGGATTTAAATCATCAGGTCCAGAATTCATGCTTTAAACCAACGAAAATGGTAAACTGATGATTTAAATGACATTTTTCATTTATATTTATATATATATATATATATATTCAATGTATCGATTTTTTTAATGCACATTAAATTTGAAAAATATCAGTTATTAAGTCATATATAATTGAATATCTTTTTATTCAAATTTATATGCCTATATTTATGTGCTTAAATATATTTACATAACTTTTTAAAAAAATTGTAAGACATTGACATATAGTCAGACCAATTTGATCCGTATATTTGGAAGAAATTCCACGTTGATTTCCACCTTATTGATTTGGAGCTTTTCTTCATCCGCACGTCTCTTCATATCCGACCCACCCTACAAAAAAACCTTTTGACGATTAAATAAACCTTTTGTTCCCACATGTAACTCTTAGTTCGTTTTTAATTCTATATTCCCATCATTTCATTTTATATGTTGTTTTTAAAAAAATTATTTATTTTCTTTATTAAATGTTTTTATGTTAAATTAAGTACATTTAATGTTATATACTCCCTCCGTTTTAATATATATGATGTTTTAGGTAAAAGCACACACTTTAAAAAAATTATTTTCTCTATTAAAAGTTATCATTTAATATTTAATATATGAAAATTCAACCAATGATATAAAAGACTGCAAACTATAAATAGTCATAAAATATCAAATATATTTAAAAGTTGCATAAAAATTTGTAAAACATCCCTTATTATAAAACAGAGGGAGTAATCATTTATATTATGTAGTGATTTTAATGATTGATTGAATTGTTTTAATTTTGATATAAAAATAAATTTTCAAGATATATTTTTATCCAAATCATCTTACAAAAAGAAACGAAAGGATAATAAGTTTTTCTTTTTGTTATTTTTAGCAAGATATATAAAGTTTTTTAGTACTCACTTGTTTGTTACTAATAAACAGAAAATATATTAAAACATTTTGAAACATGATTTTACTATTTTTTTAATTTTGATAGTAAGATAAGCATATGAAAAAGATTCGAATTTATTAAAATATATCGAAACATCATGAAACCTTACGATTTTAAAGTAATAACCAAAGAAGTTAAATTTGTTACCTTAAAGCATTACCAATGATTTACATACCCAAAAAAGTATCTTAACATCAAAATATTAATATTCACTCTGTTTCAAAATATATGATGTTTTAGTTAAAAATACATAGTTGAATTTTTTTATTTTATTCTTTAAAACTATCATTTAATATTTGATTTTTATGATAAATCAACTAATTACAAAAAATTACAGATTATAAATAGTCACAAAATATTAAATCCATTAAAAAATTTGCATTAAAACTTGTAAAATATCATATATTCTGAAATAAAAAATCTCTAGAACATCCTATATTTTGAAACATATAGAATATTTTACTATACCTTGATTATATATTTAGTTTTAGTTTTTAAATACAAATAAACCAATTAAAAACAAACCACTGTAAAGAAGGGTTTTAGTTAAGATATCCAAAGTTCTTATTTGAAAACTCATTTCTACTTTTCTTTCAAATTGTTTTTTTTTTGTAGGAAAATATTTTATTGGAGATGCTCTAAGTATTTGGGCGTGAGTCCTCCGTATAAAGTGGGTGTCGACAAAGTTATCTTTAATGTTTCTCTATGACTTTGAACGATCTATGACTTGTATTGACTACAGCACTGCCGTTGTATGTGTTTTAAGGTATTGAGTAAACGTAATTAGACCATCTGCATTGGGGGATCACCCCCCCTGATCTAAGCATTATTTAAATCCAAAAAAATGGGTTAATGGGCTTAAGATCAGGAACTGGGCTCTTGACCTGGATCTGTTCTTGTGGGTGTTGCGGGGTGACGTGGCATTTGGGCATTGGTTGGAATATTCAACATATTTGGAATAAATTTGGATAATAAACTATGTATTAATTAGATAAAATGTTTTTGTGCTTTTATTAAGTAATATGTTTGTTTGTTTATTGTTATTTATATTTTTAATGTTTTTTTCATAAATATTTAGTATTGTATTTTCACTTTTATTTTCAGTTTTTCATAAATTTGGTATTTGCAATTTATATGTTATTTTAAAATGTTTTAATAATTGTAAAATCTTAATTTAATTTAGATTATTATATTATTAAGTCTTAAGATCTTACACATGTTCTCCCACTAATCAACTTCTAAACAAAAGATCTAAACACATGATCTTACATTATTTTAACATTATATTCTCTATAAGAACACCCTCACATGATCCCCCATTGATGATGCCCTTAAAGAAAATTGGTCATTATACGGGAATGTCACGTGGAGAAAAAAATATAATGAGATGTGAAAAGATTGAAAGGTCTCATGAAAACAAAATTTAATAAGAAATTGAAGAAGGGGAGAGTAATAAAAAAGATAGGATAAGCCGATAAGGAGACAATATATTCTATAATCTGTAGTGTGAATCAATGGAAATGTGAAGAAAAAGTATCAAAGCTACACAATTTCTCTATCCAAAAGAAAAAAAAATGAGAAGTATCAAATCTACAAACGGGATAATCACTTTAAACAAAAGAAAAATTAAAAGTGGGGAATATTATATAGAAATGTGTGTCGGGAAATATTACATCAAAAAGGACAAAACAAAGTAAAAAAATTAAGTGCGTAGTGATACCACGGTCACGATGCGGTTCAAAGTCGGTCAAATTTGAAGCTATTTTAATTCGATTGTTTTTTTATTCGTTGACCAAAATGAGAACGTTTGAGGAGTTCAAAGACGAACGATTTTGACATACGATCTCTGAGATCGCTCTACGAGTGACAACTTCGGTTCTATCATCTCTCAAACTCTCTTACGTGGTTCTTCTATTTACGATGAATGGGCCACCAAATTTTGAACAATAACAAAAAGGCAGCTCATATTCGATTCAGTTCTCATATTAGCATACATTTAAAAGGGTCACGAATCTTACTCTCATTAATTTGCCAATGAATTTTCTAAATGTTAATATTTTCTTAACACTAACAGTAGACATATTAATCTACAATATACAAGTAATAGTGTTACCAATTTTTCTTTCGTTTAAAAAAAAATCACAACCAAATGTCCAAAACTAAAGAGCTATACAACAAATCTACAACCAAAAACTTGCAGTTATAACTTTAAACAATCGAGCCAATCAAAAACTATATACAACCATATTTAGGAAACAAAGTATATATATACAGAAAGATTACGAACATTGATGTCATTACTTTTTGGTTTTGCTCCTCTTAAATTCGAGATCGTATGGGCAATTGCAATTCCCGACCTTTCATTTTCTCTTCATATTTTCTAAGATGATTTTCTTCTTCCTTAAGTCCAATTGCTTTTGTAACTTTCTGAACCTCCTTAACCATTTTCTTAATAAAATCGGCTTCAGAGCTGTTAAAGAAAAGAAGAAAAAATGTATACATTAGTCCATCAAACATCCTTCATATATTGAAGCAAGTTATAAGAAGAAACAAAGGAATACTTTTCGATCGGTAGTTTTAACTTTTAACTAGAGCATATAAAAGAGGAAGAGGAAGATCTAGTTAGTGTGAATGGAAGGCACCTCTTGTCTCTCAATGACAAACCCATCTTGTCAGAGATACATTCGAGAGCTTCTTTCCATTTCTTGATCTGATCTCCAGTAGAAACTTTCGCGAGAGTCCAGAAGTTGTCACCAAACTCACCTGTCTGTTTTCTTATGTCTTCTGGCTCCACATTGTAAAAGATTGGAATGACTAAGAGCTTTCCTTGATCCGCAAGTTTCTTCATCTTCACCAACTCATCCATGCACCACGGCGACTCCGCATACCTTTAGATTTAACAAAAGGATGATGAAAAATTCTTCAATTTTATGGTTCATAGAGTGTGAAAAAATACTACAAACCTGGTAGAGAAGATGGCCAAAGCGATCCTCGATTCTTCGATCCTTACAAAGAGATTTTTGAGGTCTTTGCCTCTCTGCTCGTATGTGTCTACGAAGACGTTTACCTCATTCCTTTCAAATGCATCAATCAGGTGGCTCACGAAGCTGTAACGCAATTCCTCTCCCCTATAATTCAAAAACACTTGACACACTTGAGCAGGAGAGAAGACTGACATCGTTAGGGTTCTCAGGTTATTCAATACCACGTGTCTTCCCTCTAACAAGCTTTAAAAAACCCAAAAAATTTGTTGCTAACTTTTATTTTATTTATTTTTTGCCAACTTTTTTTTCTTAAAGAGAAACTTTCATTAGCACTTTGAAACCTTTCACACAGCTGTTTTTCACACAATTGTAACTTTAGCAAAATCTTTATTTTTTAATAGTATTTTTTTTCGTCGAGAGCCTTAATTTTATACCTCGTCCAGACAGAGAATGTTTAAACAGTGTTCTTCGAATTCTGGGACTAAAGTTTTGTTACCATCATTTTTGGCTATCCTAGGTTTAAAGTAGATAATTAATCGGTGGCAAGGATTTATCTACTTTAATAAATTAAAATTTATTGTTTTCTTTTCTTTACTTTTCTTTTTCTTTCGTCAGCACGTTGTTGCATGTCTTCACTTAATTAAAAATTATCTAACCACAGGGTTACATATTGTAATTTTCCATCAAAAAAGAAAACCATAAGTTGATTAAGTTCGATTAATCAACGAAGAGATGTTTTATCTTTGCGAAAGGTAAATAGACTAAGAACAAACCTTTTTGACCTTAGTTTTTTCTGTTTGAAGATAGAGATATGATGAGCTTAATACTTGTTATTGTCTTTTGGTTTGGTGGTACCAACCAGGGAAGAAGAAATGCAAATACTGAATAGTTCCACAAACTTGAAGATGGCGTGGTTGAGTTTGAGGTTTGTTTATCGGTGGCTCTGGTCTACAATTATGCACTTGAAAACTTTTCTTTGAGAAAAAGAAACTCATCTACTAACTAGTACACGTACACACACATACGTACTCATCTGCTCATGTCTTTGATTATACGATTAATCTGTTTGAAGTTTTTTTACCTCACATTTAACTCAAAAATGTCACCAATCATATGATTTATTTAAAAAAAAAAAACTAAGTTGTAGTTTAAGTTTTGTTGAATTATGATTGATTTACATTTTTTGAGTTATCTCGTTTGTAAAATTGTTTGATCAAAACTTAACTAAAAAACATGAAAATTATTATGATTTTTTTTGTATGAATGTAAAATTACATTCATAAAAGAAAAACTGTTTGTACAATGAATGCAACGTTGAGAGCTGAGAGTTTAGAAAAAAAAAATCTAAAAATTATTATGAATTAAAGAGTGGTAAATTGAGTTGAGATTTTTAATCATGTGTTACGTTTTAAGCAAAGATTAGTGTCAAGAGACTAAGAGAGGATATGTGTACACCTTAGGTTGGTAGCCAACGTCTTCATTAGGGATGATTATTAGCTTAATCAAAATTTGGTAGCCAAGGGATCATGTGGCATCTTGCATGTGTGTGTTGACATCCGACACTTAATTATGTGTCATTTGGTTTGTTTAATTTGTAACTTTGAATTAAAATAGAAAAATAAGACGACGACTTAAACATGCCTTTTAGAGTTCTCGAATCATATAAAAAAGGAAGAGTAATTCAGAAGGAACCGCTCACAATTTTTATTCGCAAATCCAAATATTTATGTATTGTAAGAGATAGAACCAAATTCAAAACTAAAATCATTACTATAACAGTAGAATACAGTAAGAAGAGTAAAACTTTCCAAAGAGAAAATTCTCTTCACTCGACCTATCAAAACCTCCAAAACACTCTATTAACGAAAGCTCGTCTTTACTATACTAAACGTAAAATCCTATGAAAAAAGGAAATAAGAAAATGGTAATTCTATCTAATTTCTTTAATCACAAAATATGAAATATTTGTATCAAATATCCCCGTAAACAAGAAAGAAAGAAACCATAAGCATAAAAATTACTTAAATCTTTATAAGCATCCCTCTTCGTGATCAAGAAGGGGTCGACCTCCTTAGTAAAATGTTTGCCAACATTTTTCAGCATCTCCAAAAACGGCTGATAGTAATCAGAGTGAGCTTCCATACACTCGCATCGTCTCAAAGGCTTCCGGATTCTTTGGGAAACTTTCCTTGTCTTTCTTTTCTTCTTCCCAGCTATCACTCCAAGCCTTGACTGATTCTTTGCAAGCTCCTTTTGTCAACAACGCATCTGCTTCCTTTGATTTCGAATGGAGGAAGGCGTCGATTTCCTTAGTATAATGGTCGTTAGCATCCTTCAGTGATTCGGCTTATAATAAGGGTGAGCGTCAGCACACGTGCTCCTCGTCTCTATGGCTTCCACAGAGCCCGTGCCTACGTTAGGCAATATGGAAACCTTTGTCTCCGGCCTCATCTTTAGTAAAAACATTCAATAGCTTATTTATGTGTCTTTAATGTAATTTTAGGCTCTCTATCTCATCTATCATTATTATGAATTATATGTTTCGATTTTTCTCAAATAATAGAAGATCGTATGTTAATTAACCTACGATCAAATTTTATCTTTTAGTGAATTTTTTAAGGGTTAATTACGGGACAGGCCCATTGACCATGTTTTTCTTTCACGTTTTGACAAAGTGGGGGAGAGCTTTCAAGTTTTGACAATTATGTCATTTTCGGACAAAATTGCCCTTCCAGCAAAACCGGTGTACAGCAACAGCGAACTAATTAGTTAGGCGCGTTGGTTACGTACACAGTATCTCGTTAGCTACAGTACACACTTTATATACAGTACATTTTCGTTAGCTACAATGTAAAAAACAAAAATTAAAAATTAAAACTAGAAAAATAAATTAAAATAAGATTATTATTATTATTATTATTCACCTTCTTTTGTTTTCACATTTTTCTTTCTTTTCAATTTTATATAGATTTATTATTTTGTACTTTTAATTAAAATTAATTTTTTTCTATCTTTTAAGACCCATTTTCATATATTTTTTTTAACTTTGAATAGTAATTTATTTCTTAATTTAATCGTGTTGTTGAAAACAATTCGAGATTAACAATATCATGTACTCATGTGTACGTACACAGTAGTAATTTGTGTACATATATGTACATAAATATATAAATAATTTGTATATTTAAGTTTAAAATATTTTTTGAACATAAAAACAAAACATTCAAACCATGTATGAACTACACCTGGAAAAAATATTAAAAACAAAGAATCAAACCGAACCTATTCGAAAAATAAGAACTGAACCCGGAACTGATAAAATATCTAAACGGTATACGTAATTGGTGATTATGTACGTAAAAATGTAGTATTGTGTACGTAAGAGACGAGGTAGTGATCATGAAAGAGAAAATTGTATCATAGTGAAAGTCCAAGTGTAAACATGTTTGTGTCATTTTGTCCAATCCGCAAAGGGTGGTGTGAATAGTGTGTGCATGATGGAGGATTTGGCTGATGAAACTAACATGGTTCGGGGTGAAAACGCAACAAAGACCAGATTGGAGGCTCTAAATGTGGATGAAAACAATGAGAAAGTATATGAGGAACAAGAAGTAGATGACAATAAAGAGGATAAAGAGAAAGAGGATGAGGACGACGAAGAGGAAAAAGAGGATGGGGACGACGAAGAGGAAAAAGAGGATGAGGGAGAAGACGATGAAGATGACGATGAGTCAAGTAAGGGAATGTCCTGTAACCGACTATAAACGGAAGTAAAGGTACTGGCGAAGGTTTCATTACAACAAGGGACATGTCGGGGATGTTCGTGACACTCAACCGAGTGTGAGATCAACATAAAAATTCGGTTTATTAATAGAAATATGTACTTATACTAATGAACGTGTGCGTGATGGAAAAAACATCGATCATTTTGGAAAGAATTGCGACATTCAACCATTTGTGACTCCTAGCCGGGAGGTAAGACATGATTTTTGGAAGAATGTACGTACACTACTAACTATGTACACAATGAAGTATGTAAAGGTGAATGTTTGACGTACACGAATACAGATGGGCATGGTAGATGTGAAGTGAATGGTAATGGTGTGGAGTTTGGTATTGGATGATCATTATAGGGGGTTTTACTTGAATCAAAGTACACCATAGTGATTGTGAATGAGTTTGCTCCATTCTGAGACAATTTAACCAATGTCTGACTAATAAGACATAAGTAAAATAGTGCAATAGGGGACTGGAAACCAAACCGAATATCTGAATGTTTAGGACTAGTACGAACTATCATGATGAGTATGTATGTGAAGAACAACACAAATATCATTGTTGAGACAATGTACTAGCGTACATATATAGGTGTGCATACACATGCATATTAGGGAAGTTAACGTACACAAATACATCCATTAGAGACTATGTACGTAATACTGTGTACGTGAGGGACGAGGTAGTGATCATGCCGGAGAGAATGGTGTCATTATCCCATGTGTGAGGTCTTGCGAGAAGATAAGTAAAACTATCACAAACAAGTGAAACATCCTTTTTATTCATAATAGGGATCCAAGTGTAAATATGTTTGTGTCGTTTTGTTCAACCCGTTAAGAAAAGTGTGAATAGTGTATGCATGATGGAAGACCTTGCTGATGAAACTAACTATGGGTCGGAGGTAAAAACAATGAGGAAGTAGATGAGGAAGAAGAAGTGGAGGGCGATAAAGAGGATGAAGAGAAAGAGGATGAGGACGACGAAAAGGAGAAAGAACATGAGTAAGAGGACGATGAAGATGACGACTATAAACTGTAGTAAAGGTAGTGACAAAGTTTGTTGTTGAGAAATATAAGATAGGACATGTAGGAAATGTTGGTGACACTCGCCTTACTGTGGGGCTACATGAAAATTCAGTTGATTATTAGAAACGTCTACATATACTAATTAATGTATACATAATTGAAAAGGCATCTATCATTTTAGAGAGAATGGTGACATTCAACCATTTGTCAATCATAACCAGGAGCTAAGACATGAATTTTGGAAATTGTGTGGATTTTTGCTCTAGTCTTCGATGATTAAGTCAATGCCCGAGTTGATGAGACAAAAATATAAATTAATACGATAAGAGAGACATTGTTTGTTGAGAGTGTATTTAGAAGAAAAAAAAAACAAATAACAATGGCTTCAACTCCAGTAGGAGCGTCGTAGAATACATCCCACCATGGCCAATTTTGGTTTATTATTGTATCAATAAATTTATCTCAACAACTTTAACTCACCAATAAAGATGTACGTACATTATTACACATGTAAGTACATAAATTTTTTGCAGAAGTATGAGGAACAAATATTCTTTGACCATATATTTTTATTTAATTATTATATATTCGTAGATTTTATTGAGATATATGAATAAGTAACAAAATAACTTGATAGATTTTGGAGTCATATCATTTAATTGTTAATTTTTTCATGTATGTACACTGTAAATTTTATTATTGATATGTACTGAATTGTCAGAATTTAACATATATAAATTTTGCAATTTAACTAGAGAAAATCCTACTTAACATAATTTAAATATTCAGAAAACAATATTGGTAAATAAATATGTAGTTCAAATTTAAAAATTCAAAGAAAAAAATCTAACCGATAAACATTTGATCATAGAACAACATTATCCTCTCATATCGGGTCCATACTTCTAATTTTGGTAAGCTATGTTGTGAAATGTTAATCAAAATAACCAAAAGTTTCTAATGTACAAAAACAATAAATATTGCCTACACCGCCTTTACAATATAACATATTTACACGTACACATAATCAATGTTGCGTACATAGTAGATTGCATATACGTACACCGAAGAAATTCGATGAAGGGTATAATTGTAATTTTCCAGTCATCTTCAACCTGAGTAGAGTATCCTCTTCTGCAACCCTAATTTTGCAGCTGTCGTTAACAATTATCTCATAATCTTATTCTCTTTACGATTTGAATGCTTTTTACATATAAATCTTGTAAACCTAGCATATTTTAAGTTTGAAAATCTCCAGAAATTTGTTTTATTTTGCTTGTTGAGGGAATATGTAATTTGTTTCCACTTACTCGTCTTAAAAACTCTCAATCGAAGATGAATGAGAGATTATTCAGATCTTAAGAAAACGATTATCACTGAGATTTTCGAAGATTAAAAAGTTGAGATTTTTGATTTCGTTTTCTCCTTCTTCTTCTGTTTTCTTCAATAATTTGTTTTCACACATAGTGAGGAAAACAAAAAAAAAACACAAACGTAACTGAACGAGAACAGTTTGTAGTTAAGTTTCTAGTTGAGGGACATTTTCGTCAGAAATGTGGCTAATTGTCAAACCGTGAAAGTCTTTCCCCACTTTGTCAATTGGTGAGACAAATATTTAAAACTGTCCCTTTTCTGAAAATTTCTTATTTTTTAATGCAACACGCTCGTGAAGTGTAATTGCAATTTTTTCAGATTGATTCTGGCTCAGCTCACTCCCAAAGAAGAAAATACTAGTAAAAATTATAATTTTAAGTTCTTTTCGACTACGAATTGTGATCCAGGCTCTTGGCATGTCTATGAGATTTTCACTAAAAGCAGAATCAAAATTCTGAGTGTTACAAAATTTAATCAACCTGTCTTTCTATTCTTCCTCGATCCCTAGCTTTTTTTTATAGCAGCCTTAACGGAATAACTCCTTCTGGGCTTCGTGAGCTGATTGTGGGCTTCTTTCTGTTACATAGCCCAACAACTACAAGCGACTTAGGGCCTGACTGGTTTAAACGCAGCGGTTGCGGTTGCGGTTGCGGGAGTTTGCGGAAGCGGGCGGTTGCGGCTTCAAGCGTTACCAAGTGTTTTGAACGACTGGTTTAGCGTTTGAAAATGGATGCGTTTGCGGGAGTTTATGACTGGTAAACCAGCGGTTGCAGTAGCAGTTAAATAAAAAAATGACCAAAATAAATAAAAAATATTACAAAAAAAGAAATAAAAACACCAATATATTATTAATAATATTAGAAAAATTGAACATGCTTAATAATTAAAACCATAAATAAAGTACTAAATAATTATTCAAAAATGAAGAAATTTTGTAATAAGATAGTACTTTATGCATTTGGTTTAACACCAAAAATTGCATCAAGTAATGGGACAAACTGTAAATAACGTTGAATTCAATCAAAAAGCAAGTGAGTTTCTATTCGAGAAAACAAATCGAAACATATATTCAATCAAAAAGTAAAGCAATATATAATGAAAAGGAAAAAACGATACCATGAAAAATATTCAAAGAGTTACACATGAGGTGATGAATGAATAAAATGATATATGATACTTACGTTTGGTTCTTCATTAGTTTGGGTGGAAGACATTGAGAGAATAGGATTTCAGAATATTGATTAGGGTTTTTGATGAGAACATAATACAAAGATAAAAGATATACATAGGAGTAATATATATTATAATAATTATAAGTAAATGTTTGATTTTTTTTTTTTTTAATAAATCCAACCGCTACCGCCCGCAAACGCAAACGCTTGCGGGAAAGAGCTTTTGAAATTCAGCGATTTCGAGCGGTTCAAAGCGGTACGGAGCGGTTTTTATGATTGGTACCAACCGCTAACAACCGCAACCGACCGCTAGCAACCGCTAGGAGGGTGCTAGCGGGAAAACCAATCAAGCCCTTAGTTAAGCTTTAGTGAACCGCACCGCTACATACCAAAACAAACCGAAATTGGTTTTTCTATAAAATGCAATTTTACATAGATATGCTTGATGATTCTTTATGATGTACGAGAAAATAAATATATATACAAATAAAAATAATATGTTCACGAATAAAGTAAGTTTGCAACACTATAATAATTTAAAACGACTTCTTGTCAATTTAAACCGTACAACAAAACTAAAATGGTGAAAAGTTCATAAAGTTTACTCCAAAAACATTAACCAGTAAAATTAAACTATATTAATTAAATCAGTTAGTCTTTTCAAATTTGATATTTAGTGAATTTATTTTATTTCTACTATTGTATTAGATTTATTAATATTAAGAAGGGTAAAAATGAAATTGTCAAAGTTGCAATGCTATCAAATAATATACAAACTTTGATCAAAAAAAAAAAAAAAAAAACTGCAATGGGAAAAGTCTTTATGCGGCAAAGTCTTTATCGACGCATCATCATACATATGACGTCCAAAGTGTAGTTAAATATAAATAAATAAAGATGACCAAACTCGACAAACAAAAGTGTTAGAAAAATATTTTCAAAGTAGTATTAACTTTTTAGGATTTCACAAAGACACCACTAAAACGTCACATATCCAAAAACAGAGGCTCAGCAGATTATATAGTCATCTTTTTGATTACCGTTGGATCTCAAGCTGGATGTCGTCAGTCAATAATGAATATATAACACAAACTTTTTTTTTTAAAAAGAGGAATTTTGTAACAAATCATTTCACACTCGATTTAGCTATTCAAATATAGTGTTTGTGGATATGTATGTATTTGAGAGGAAGATTGATACACGGGAAACAGAGAATGGTGATATAAGACCTTAATTAATTGATTAATCCGAATCTGTTGAAAATTAATAAGTAAAATATTAGAGAAAATTAAAGTACCTTCAATAAATAAAACACAACTAGAAAAAACAGTCTATATCCATACAAATTGCAGAACATTTTCCTACGTCACAACTTTTTGGTTCTGCTTTTCTTGAAATCAGGAAGTTCACATTTGCAATCCTTTCTCTTCTTTTTCCCAAAATGATTCTCTTCTTCCTCAAGTCCAATTTCTGCTACAACACTCTGAACCGCCTTAACAACTTCCTTGACAAAATCGGCTTCATAGCTACCAAAAATGTATATATAACTTCTTCAATACAAGAAGAAGAAGAAGATTTAGTAAATGTGAGTCAGTGAGTGGAAAGTACCTCTTGTCTCCCAACGACAAACCCATCTTGTTGGAGATACATTCCAAGGCTTCTTTCCATTTCTTGATCTGATCTCCACTCGAAACCTTTGCGAGCGTCCAGAAGTTGTCGCCAAACTCACCTGTCTGTTTTCTAACGTCTTCTACCTTCACCTTGTAGAAGATTGGAATGACATGGAGCTTTCCTTTATCAGCAAGTTTCTTAATCTTTACCAACTCATCCATACACCAGCTCGACTCGGTGTATCTGAAATCAAGATGAGGATGATTAAGATTCTTGAATCTTCTGGATAATGTGAAAGAATATAGTACAAACCTCGTAGAGAAGATGGCCAACGCGATCCTCGATTCTTGGATCCTAAGAAAGAGATTTTTGAGGTCTTTGCCTCTCTGTTCGTATTTGTCTACGAAAAAGTTTATCTCATTCCTTTCAAAAGCATCAATGAGGTGGCTCACGAAGCTGTAACGCAGTTGCTCTCCCCGGTAGTTCAAGAACACCTGAGTGGGAGAGAAGAATGTCATCGTTCGGAAGTACCTATGAAATTAAGCACATGCTTTGTTATTTAAACACAAAAAAGTGTCTTATTTGTAACGACGTCAGAAAAACACTAAAATATGAAAACAAATCTATTATATTAAAAAGAAAGACGGCCCCATGCATGATCTCATCCCTTTTCTTCATTTCCTTCAATCATAATCCCTTGATTGCCAATTGGCACTTTTGTGTCTACGCCATAGTTGTAGTTCATACAATAGTTTCATTGTCACTTTAACAAAAAAAAACTTTATCCAATTGCTGACACACCCATATAATTTTAGCAAATTTGTAAATCTATTTTATAAGATTTTTTTTTTTTTTTTGTTTCTATACATTTTGCATCATTCTTTCGTTGTTTTCTAACATTTTGCATGCATCATCTAAAGTGAAGTCTTGCTTTATTTGTTTCCAAATACAGTAACATAATGTTTGGCGAACCTTCCTTCAGAGGATAGGCTGTGCAAGATTAAATGAACTACGTCACCAAGCTTTTTTTGTTTTCCCTTTATTTTTGTCCTTGCTAAGAATGTTAATATTCATTAAAAATAAAAATGTTTAGGTTTTACATGATCGCGATACCTAAGGATTTGATCCCATGGCAGAAACTTTTTGAAAATATGGAAGCAAAGATAAAATCTGAAATTCAGTCCATCGATAGAAGCAAACAAGCTCGCGTTGTCAGATGAAGTGAAACACGATCTCGAAGAACAACAAAAGTGTAACCATTGAAGCATCTTGACGAGCAGGAGCACCGAAAACGGAGCCATTACTCAGAGAATTACTTAAAGCCACCAAGCTAGAAGGAAGTCCCAATATCTGAATTGCATGGCCGGAAGTCCTAATATGTGGAGGTTCGTTGACTAGATGCTCAAACTGTTGGAGCACTTGAGAAAAAGGTGGTCACAATTCTCTTTAGTGGCATTTGCTAAATTGCATTGCCATATCACGGTGCAAAGTAGAGAGCTCCAAATCTAAAACCAAATAACCTCTGTTTTTTATAGGCCAAAAGGATTGACTCCTAAACAACAACTTGTGAATCCAAGCTACTCAAAGAGCATATGCATATCAGCATAAAAAGACCGCATTCCTTCTTGCGATGCTTCTTAGACCTAATCCTCCTTTCTGCCTCCCCTCGGACATCTCGTTTGCGATTTTACTTCGCTACAAAGCGATGCCAGTTACCTCACTACATGTGGACTATGGTTGTGCTATCCAGACTCGTGTCCGAGGCTTTGAGACTTTGATTTTGAAGAAATCCTAACCAGCTGCGGTTGGTCTTTCTTTGGGAGATGCTAAGCCGTACGTTCAAAGGGGGTTGAGACGGTTTCTTCACTTCCAAGTTGTGTAAATTCTGAAGGTTCGTGATCAGGGAACACCTTGGGTCGCATGGATGGAGCAATGTTGTTAACATGAAGCCACGTTAATTCCCATAGCTGTTTACTCCAACAATTCGTTGCGCTAGCACTTCCTTTGTCTTTAAAACAATCAATATGTATTCTTGAGAAGAGTACAGCTTCTTGAAATTTCTCACTTCGCTTCCCCTTAGTTTTCACCTTCATATATGTATCTTATGCATTTTGACACTCAAAAAACTTCATAACATTTTAGTTTCTTAATCAAACATTAAGCCCAAACTATATTAAAAAAAAAACTACATCAAACACAAATTGTATCCCACTCTATTTTTCTTTGATTTTTGTATATCTTCTTACATTCACGTGAAACTATATGTTTGTATAATAATCACACAACAAATAGTAAAAGCTCTTCTAAACCATATACATATATACTCGTCTCGTCAGACGATTCGAACCACTCGAACTTTGCGTCGTGACAATAACAACTCGTTCAATCTCCCAATTTCAACCATAAGTTCCTTTATTTTCTACAAAATCACAAAATCTCCAATCAAAAATCTAGAATTTTCTTTTCTTCTTAAGATTACTATAAGCTCAGGATTAATTAACACAAACCTGATCTTTCTCTCTGAGCAAACGAAGCAGAAATCTCAGCTTCTCTTCATGTAGTCGTCTCCACCATCTCACGAGCTTCACATAGACAAGGCTCAAGACCAACGAGAAGCCTCCAATGAGGGTTAATGACCAAAACACTCTTTTACGAGTTAGGTAACTACAACGCACCCTTTCGACGGCCTGAAAGACGCACACTGAGTTTTTGATCAACCGCTTTTTGGTAGTTTCAATCACTCGCCACGGAAGAGAAAGATTCACGGTGGAGGGGACAACAGAATCTTCATCATCATCATCATCGTCGTCGTTGGTCGTTGGATTTTCACGGCGATGGCTTGGTTGTAATATCGGTGAGTTTTGAAGGGTAGATGCGTCAGTACGTGGGGATTTGGGTGAGGTTTGTATCACTACCCATTCACTGAATTCTTCTTCTTGCTCTGCCTCTCCTCTGTTCATAATTTGGATAATGTTCTGCTTTTTTGTGTGTTAGTTCGGTATTTTAATACATGACGTCATTTTAATGATTTTCTGTCATAGAATTTTCTTTAAAAATATTTAATAACGATATTTTTGCTATTTGAGAACAAAATATCTAACAGAATGATAATGACACTATTGGTCTAGACTCTCTACTATTTCTGTAAACTTTTTTTGTGTGGTTTTAAAATTTAAATGTTGCGATTTGATTTTATATAAACTTCAAAAAAATTAAATGAATTTTTTTCACATTTTTAAACACATCAATTGTAAATAATTATGCATGTATATTACTTTGCATGATTTATTGGTTAAATAGTTTTGATATATATATTTAATACTTAAGGCATGTTTGTTATTTCGTGCTGTTGGTTGATCAATAGTACTTTTTTTTTTGGATCAATAATACATGGCTATAATGAGAACTAAATGGCATGCATGTATATATTAATTATATCATTAACTTTTGTTCCAATCTTTTCTTATACAACGTCTTCTTCTCAACATTCATCATTTAGATAAAAACTTAAAATTGGCAAATGGTTCCAAGAATATTGCATAAATGGTTAACATATATGGGTACGTGAAGCTAGCTTAGGATCTCTTTCTGTTTTATTTTATTATATATCACATATAATCCTTTGTATAGTGCTCTTAATTTATCTTTTACCCTTTTCAGCTTCAAAAGTTTATGAAAGACTTAGCTTCCGAAAATCAGCAGAGGAACCATACTTTCCTATTGCTGCTACTACTTCGATATCACATGGTACGTACGAACTGAAACTTAGGCAAATTTAGGTAAATGACATTGGCATATAAAAATCTGTCACATGAATAAATTAGCTGATGCGGATAGAGGGAACTATTTTCAGGTTGATAGAGAAAGACTAGTTGTACCATAAATACAAAATTTGGCGTGATAAAATAGTATCAGAAAAACATTGAAAACAGAATTGATATTTATTTATCAAATAGTCACCAAATCAATGTAATAGTGCAATGATTAGTTACATATTTATTTTTCAACCGCTTAGAATACTATTAACTAATGAAAAATTTGTCGTTTTGGATATCAAGGAAAGCCAAGCTTAGAATCTCGTAAACTAAAGGGAATAAGATTCAATGATTCAAAAGGTCGAGTAGACTTTGTCTTTGTGGAAAATGAAGCACAAGAGATAATAAATGTTTCGCCGACATCACAAGAACTTCCATCTTATTCTACTAATTCTATTTCACATAGTAATGAACGATCTAATTCTCTACGATCTATCGTTATTCAGTAAATTATTAATGTATATAGATTTTCAATCTTATTTTACAATTAAAATTACAAGGTAAGATATAAAAAGGGTGATCCTTAAAAAAGTATTTATGTGAACTCAACGGATTTTCCTACATTTGTACTCAAGTATATACGTAGAAATGACAGTGAAATTATATCATTTGATATAATTATTTGTTAAAGTAATAGCATATATGATATTACCATAAATTTCTTTAAACAATTGACTTTGGTTAAATTTTTACCGAACTTTTATCTTGAGTTGAAACAAAATAACTATAAACGTATATCACACGAACACTCAGAAAGAACGGCAACAAACACTTTTTTTGGTCAAGAAACGGCAATAAAAGTTTGATATTTGTCCATCCTGCGTCACCAAAAAGATATTGATGGGTTTAAATATATAAATTAGCTTTTATGTCAAAAAAAAAAAACAAATTCAAGTCATTTTGGTAAACGTGTGATGCTTTCAGCGGATTAGGGTTTACCACATTCGGAGTAGTTTAGTGAGTGGTTCAATGAGATGAAGAGCATAATTAAAATATTGAAGACTTTAAAAATGCATTATCTGGTCAAAAGAAAAATATAGCTGAATTATTATTCAGAACAATGTACCGAGACATAAAACCTTGTAATCGTAGTGTTTTTCGTACTTAGCGAGATGTGTTAGCCATATGAGAGGTCAAAACTGAAGAAATGGACTTTCTCCATGTAAGTGTATGAGGGAAAAAAAAGATCAAATTTGTATTCAAACATATCACATGTGATATGTTTGAACAGAACTTTGGCATGCAACAACCCAAGTAAATCCTTTTGAGCTTCCTGAATATTTGTCTATATGCAGAATATTTTTAAATTTCTGCAAGAAGTAGAAATAGAAGTATTTAATGCAAGATTATTAAAGGAATTGTCGTTTCAACCCTAGGAATTTTTTTTCCTGACTCCTCTTAAATTTGTGGTTATTGGACATGGTTTTTTTTTTTAAATGCTTCAAAAAATATCAATTATAAAATGCTTCACATTAAATTAAGTGGTATTCAATTAGGCCATGGATGCTTTATGGTAATAAATACAAAAATTACAAATGAAATGTTTGGCTCCTCTATTCTTGATATCGGGAGATTCACCATATGGGTAACTGAAAATCCCCCACCTTCCTTCCGAAAATGACTCTTTTCTTCCTCGAGACAAATGCTTCTATAACTCTCTGCACCTCCTTAACAATTTCCTTGACAAAATCGGATTCAGAGCTGCCAAATATAGTATACCTTAATCCATCAATCATCTTTCATAATTTGAAGGGACTTAAATAAAAAGTAATACTTATCCGCCGGTTTTAACTTAAGCGTATAGAAAGCAAGAGTAAAATATATACCTCTTTTCTCCTAGAGACAAACCCATCTTACAAGAGATGGACTCTAAGGCTTCTTTCCACTTCTTGATCTGATCTCCAGTAGAATCTTCGGCGAGCCTCCAGAAGTTCTTACCAAACTCACTGTCACCTGTCGGTTTTTTAACGTCTTTTGCATCCACCTTGTAGAAGATCGGAATAACTAGGAGTTTTCCTTGATCCGAAAGTTTCTTCATCATCACCAACTCATCCATGCACCAGCTCGACTCTGGATACCTATATGACAATGATTATGATTCTTGAAACTTATGGGAGGGGATGGGGGTTCACTGACCAGCTAGTACACTACTACTATATATACACATGTGAAGTAGACACTGAGAACGTGAAAGAATAGCAAACAAACCTAGTAGAGAAGATTGCCAGTGCAATGCTGGACTCTTTGATTCTTACAAAGAGATGTTTTAGGTCTTTGCCTCTCTGCTCGTGTTTGTCTATGAAGTACTTGATCTCTTGCAACTCGAAGGCATCACTTAGGTGGCTGACAAAGTTGTACCGCAGTTGCTCTCCCCGGAAATTCAAGAACACTTGATGGACCTTACCCGGAGAGACAGCGATTCTCATCGGATATGAAACGGGCGACGGCACCAAATTCAAGTTTTTTTTACCTTCACTGAATGAAGGACAAGAATCATCATCAAAACGCGGCGATGAAGAACTATAATTTGTTGAGCGGCGGCCATATCTGAATGAAAATCTGGTGGCCATATCTGAACAGACTAATTTGCTGTATATAGTGAGTGCCAGGAAGATAAAGATCGTGTTGATGAGATTCTTGTAGTTTCTCTTCACTGCTTCCTCTGTATTAAAATTGCCCTTCTTCCGTGTCTTTACCGAATCTTCTTTCACCTGAAAAGGAAATCACAACATCGTATTTGAAAATCCAAGTCCAACACATGCATGATGCATGTTAGAAATTATAAGATACAAGATAACAAAAACTTATAAGACCTCTTTTTTTGATGGTATGGTGCTCCGTGTGAGTTGAGATTTCTTTGACTTGTAATCACTGCAATTATTTTGCAGATGTTTCATGAATTCTTGATAGGAAAACATATAATCAGCTTGCCCAAAAAGATAAAAAATAATTAGCTTGCCTTAGGTTAACATGACTCAAACCAGCGGTAAACTCATCATTGCTTTGTGGCTGCACATTAGGGTTGTTGTCACTAAACAACGTGTTTGGATCCAACACATCACACGTAGAGAGATCTTCTTGTTCATTCATTGGAATTCCCAAATCATCCATAGTCTGTCAAAATGTAAAAGAAATTGCCAGTAAAGAAACAAGTTGGTAGACAACAAACAACTTTTATTTTTTATTATTAAATTAAATTTTAAATGAGTAAACGGTATGGCAACGGAAACGTACTTTTTTTTTTTTTTTTTTTGAAAGATACCATTATATTAGAAACGTACGTTCACATTTTTTTTTTTTTTTATCAAACTCTCAATCTATGCGTTATTATAATATTAAAGCATGTCCATTGGCAAAGGGTTGTTACAACTAAAAAAATAAAATATATTGAAAAAGGAAGAGAAGGAAAGTCACTTCAAAAGTATGAGAAACTGAGGAAACAACCTAGCTAGTTGCCACTTGCCACTTAATTTCACATAATTGGTCAGATTTATTTTTTAAAATTAAAAATTAAAAATAATTCATTTATTATATAATAATTAAAATATGAGATATTGAGATAGTCTACGATAATATAAAATACAAAATATCAATAAAATTTTTGAATGAGTATCTTCATTAGTTAAGAAATGCATCTCAAAAAAATTTCAAAATAGATACTTTGATGGACTTTTAACTGTTCAAAATACCCACTAAATTTTTATTATTATTTTTACTTTTAAAACTTTCTATTGGAAGGTTCTTAGATGAATTTCTAACCATTAAAAACATATTAGAAAAGGAAAAAATTTTATTAAATGAGAAACTTGAGAATCCTCATAAAAACCCAATAAAAAGTATATGTTTTATATATATTGGTTCAATTTTCTTTTTTAAAATTAAAATTTAGTTATATAACTAGTTAGAAGCGAGGAAAGCCATTAGATGACAAAATAGTTATACTAGTTTCAACACTAGATGTTTATCAAAAAAAAAGTTCAAAAAAAAAGTTCAACACTCGTTGAAACCTTGACTGCCGCCGCTATATCTTTTACGAGTACGACCAGTGCCGGCTTAGAGCATGTGCTCAAGGAGTCAAGGTGCCAAAACAAAGCTTTTTTGTTTTTTTAACAACAGTCCTTATCAACTTATTAGTTTTTTTTTATTGACATGAAATTAAAGAGAATATGGTCAAAATCAATCTAAATAATTTGTTAGATTTTTTTACCCAAACTATGATACTATATATTTATGAATTTAAACCATATATCCAACAACCGATTTATGAATGAACAAAACTTGGGTTCACCCTAGGGGTGAACCTCTTTATTCACCTCTTCTTTCTTTAACCAATAAGAATATGACATGTCATGTTATATTTAAACAAAATAAACAAATAAATTTAAAATCAGGAAAATAAAAGAAATGAAACAAAATCTATATTTACTTAACGTCAAGACGTTACAGACATTTTTTTTTAATACAATTTATTTTATGAACAATTTTTGGATTTTTCTTCACCTTAAGTTTCTAACCAATCATAATATGTCATTTAAAATAAAAAAAATTAAACTCATTTCTTTATAAAATCTAAACCCTAACCCCTCTTTTATAAACCTAAACCGACATATAATCTCGTCTAATTACAAAATCTAAACCCTAATCCTCCTTTATAAACCCAAACTGACATTTAACCTCGTTTAATTATAAATCTAAACCCTAACCATTCTTTATATAAACCCAAACTGATATTTAACCTCGTTTAATTATAAAATTTAAACCCTAACCGTTTTGTATAAACCCAAACCGATATTTAAACTCGTTTAATTGTAAAATCTAAATGCGTTTATAAACCCAAACCAATATTTGACTTTGTTTAATTATAAAATATATATCCTAACTCTTCTTCATAAACCCGAACCGATATATAACTGCGTTTTGGTGGAAGATTAAATTTTACAAATAACTAAATAAAATATCAGTATTTTAATTGGTTAGAAAAAAGAGATAAATAAAAAGTCTCATCTCCAATAAATTATATTAAAAAGGTACTTAACGTCAAAATAAGACGTCAACATTGACGTTAGTTTATGTAAAGATTTTGTTTCCTTGTTTTTCTAATTTTAGATTTAGTTTATTATTTTATTTAAATATAATATGACATGTAATAATTTTATTGGTTAAAAAAGGAGGAGGTGAATAGAGAGGTTCACCCCTAGGAGTGTGAACCCAAGTATTTTCCATTAATTTATAGATGTTTTACTGTAATTCCTGCCCCTCTACTTAGTTCTAAACATTATTCCCATATTTGTAACTTGTTGGGAGAATATCTCTATTCCTCTTCACATAGAGAAGATTTCTAAACTTTAATCAATTTCAATCTCCAATTCAATTATGCTATAATTTTTTCATCTTTGATTTTTTTGTTGTCTATGTATATAGTTGAGTAGATCTCTATTCAGGTTTTTTGGAGATTTGTAAGGGAGATTTATGATTGATTGATGTCTTGCTTATTTGAGAGCTATCTTTTAGTTCTTCAATAGGTTGATTCTTAACGCTTGATCTATTTTCATCATCTAGATCATGTTCTAAGTTGTGTTCATCGTAGCACCAAAAGTGTTGTTAAGTTAATTGATCTAGTCTAGGTGAGTAAAAATTCCTTAGCCAACTACAATTGATGTTAAGGTGTTTTGTAAACATATTAAACTCACATTTAATGTTTGTTTGAGTTCTTTACATTCGTAGTTATTTCATACGGAATAATGTGATCTTTGTTAACGATAGTTATTCCTTAGCCAACTACAATTGATGTTAAGGTGTTTTGTAAACATATTAAACTCACATTTAACGATAGTAAAGTTCTTGGATAGTTATTTCATACGGAAGTAGGATAACTTTACATTCGTAGTTTGAGTTTAAGAAAGATTCTTAATAATGTGATCTTTGTTAACTAATTCATTTTTTTTTCCTGAATCCCTGAAGAATTTCCCTTGCCCAATATTTAATTTATTAATTTTATTTATCATATTAGTTAATTTGATTTTTGTTTCAAAAAACGAGTTCTTGATTACTCTTCTTATTTCAGATCTTAGTTTAGATCATCATAATTCGTAGTGTACTCATTTGATCATTATGGATATTTGATCCTAAAATATATTATTGTATTTGATGTGTAGTAGATTCTTAGGGTAAAACTTGTGATTAACAACACTAAACCCTAATTTTGATTGTATCCCCAATTATAAAACGACTTCGTTTTGTTCTTAAAATAGGGCATTTCTCAAATAACAAAAAATCCATATAAGAGTTCACTTATACACAAATTCAAATTTATAATTAATGAGTTTATTTGAACAGCCTATATAATTATTGAAATGAAAATGATGTATATTCAGAATTTAAAAACTTACATAAGATTTTGCTATTTTTATGAAACACTAGGTGATCACTCACGCTACGCCGCATGTTTTTTTTTCGGTTTTTTGATTTATTTATTTTGTTTTATTTAATATTATGTTTTGATAAATATAATTTTTATTTATCTAATCATTCACTCATACTAGGACTAGGTAAAATACTAGGATCCGAAGATTCAAACCGAATGTGGCTCGAAATATCCGAGCATAATCTGAACCAAATATCCAAACTGGTTATAGAGGGCCGGAACTTTGGATACCTGAAAAAAATCCGACCCGACCGAATACCCGAAAAAACCTAATCTTCGTTCTAAACCATCTTTATAGATGGTAATGTTGGGATTATAAAAATCTCACGAATTTAATGATGGAGGTCCTTACGTATTTCTCACTCTCTGTGATATATTATATAGATAAAAATTTAGGAGAATAGCTTACTCAAACCATTAGCTGATCCAATATACTATTATCTACTCATATTTTGAATTAAAATAAAAAAAATATTAGTGAAATAACCTCTAATATTATAAAATCAATAAAATAATTTTATTGAAGAAAAAATAACATATAATGATAAAATAAAATTAGTATAATTTAATATTTATAATTAAATAATAAATTTACTATTAACCTATGAAATCGAGAGCGTAGAGCTTACATTAATTATTTAGGGATACCTGGCAAATCCTGAAGTGATTATGTATCACTCATGTTTAGCGAGTTGACCAACTTTCATATATATGATTTATAGAAAATACTACAGGAAAATAGTTATAAAAAATAGCATAACATTTTTTATATAATAAAAGTTAGTGATGAATTCTAACGAAAAGTCATTTAAAAAAATACTAAATCATATTAATATATTATCAATATTTGAATATACATATATATATATATATATATATATATATATATATATATATGTACATTTACATGGTTGTTAAACTTTTTAATCATATTAAAAAAACATAACGTTCTCATCATCATAAGTTCATAACCAAAAACTCATAAGAAACAGACAAGTACAGAATGGTCATGTAGCTTTACTATCTTAATAATAAGCAATCGAGGTAATGTTAACTTATAAGAAAAAAAAAAGAGAAGCTTCCAATCGAATAATGTTGAAGCAAGATTAGTTTTTTTAAAGTAATAATTTTGTTTGATGA